AAAAATTTCAAAACGACAATTATTTTGAAATGATATAATGTAGTTTAATATCAGTTATGTGCACCGTACGAGTTGATTTTATATTTTAAATTTATAAATATTATTTAATGAACATTTTTAATTTATAAATCTTAATGAATATCTCTTACCCGTGCATCGCGCGGGATTCGTACTAGTATATATTTTAAGGAGTGGACTCATTTTAAGGAGTGTACTCATTTTAAGGAGTGGACTCATTGGATCCTCCCCCTATATATATATGTATATATATACATAAGTTTGATGGTGATATTGATTCTATGTTCTTAAAAACTTGATGATACACATTTCAGTATTTATATTTATATTAGTAAATACATTTTTATATCAAATGATTGTATCGACTTAAATTACAATTTCATTATTTAGCATTTAAAACATGCCCCCTGAATAAAATTTCTAGATCCGTCACTGCATGTAGTAAACGTTTATAACAAATGACAATAATAAGATTATAATTTATATATCTAAAGATATACCAATTATTTTTAACTTTATGTACATTTATAAAAAAATAAACATAATAATTTTTAGAGAATTAAAATTGAGTATTTGATTAAGCAATTGACAAGATGTGGTGATACAAACATGAGTTACTACATAGCTGATCTTTTTTACATATCAATTGATATTTTTGTAGTATGCTATCCATAAGTTAGTAATATCATAAATGAATTGTGTTTTAATGAAGAAATTATTTAAAAATAAATCATATTCTCATTTTATATACGTTATAATTATAATTTCATATATTATTAAATAAAATATTTAATTCAATTGAGTAATCTTTCAATAATCATTATAGGTATAAAAAAGTATTTTTCTATGCTTTTAAAGAAAAAATATTTTTGAGAAAATATAAAAGATGCTAAAAAGGAAAAAAGAAAAAAAAAATCTTCAGAATTTCCTTTTTATTTTTAAAATCAATTATTCCAAAATCGATGTAACATGATGCAAATATGAGATGTAGAAAGCAAAATAACATATGTAATATGATTTTGTATTTTCGACACTGATGTAGAATCTTAACTTATTAGCCATCTCAGGACCATTATATTCACAGGTAGGGGGTGCGGCCTCAGCCCCCCACCCCACCCTTGGGTGCGTTTCCAAAAACAAACAAAAAATATGATGGTACATAGTAGTCTGAATTGTTTTTAGGCTTTGCCTCCTTTTTGTACAAAAAAAAAAAAAAAGTGGTATTCAGGATCTTTATTTTTATTTTACTGAAAGTTCAAACTAATGAATACGATCATTTTAGTTTTTTATTTGGTATTATATTTTCATAATAGTTTTATATATAGCTCTACTTTTATATATTTATGTACAATAATACGGTATTTAAAACCCTGGTTAAAGGAGAGAAATAAAAGAAAAAGGTAAGGGGTGAATGGCCCTCCCCACTTATAAATACGATACCTTTCTCCTCATTCCCAAAACCCACAATTCTCCTTATTATATCTTACATACAATTTTCAATTGTATAAATTAAGTTTGAAAATGAGCAAAGGTGGCAGTGTTAGCGTGGCCATCTTATGCCTGGCGGCTTCAGTTGTATCAGTTGTCGTGATGTCTGTGTTGGTACACGAGTCGGAAGCCGTGACTTGCGACCCTACCCAGCTCACCCCGTGCCTTGGGGCCATAACCGGTGGCAATCCCCCATCAGCCGAGTGTTGCAACAAGCTGAAAGAGCAAGTCCCTTGCTACTGTGGCTACCTCAAGAACCCTGTACTCAGGCCCTATATTGAGTCGCCAGGCGCAAAAAGGGTTGCTTCAACTTGTGGCATCACCATATCCAACTGCTCATCCAAATAAACTCTCATCATAAACATTATATGTGCAATGTGTGTACCTATATTGTTGTGTTTCCTTTGTGGTTGTTCAAATAAATTACACCATCCGTGAATTCCTATATATACTTCTCTTTTCTATATGTTTAAAATCAGAATTCTCATCAATAAATGTTTGGATATATATGATTTTCCAGCTATTTTTTTTTTTAATTAATCATAATATTTTATTCATGTTCATTTTGAATAATTCTGAATAATACAACCACATCAAAATCAATTTTTAAATATTCGTTCATAATTATTTTTAAAAACGGGCCACTATTGTACCCACTAATGTTGGGTAAATATCCATTTTTCCTTTTCTCTTCTAATTATCTTTCAGCAAAAATTTTTATTAAATAAAAAATATAGTTTAATATAACAATAACTTAGCCAAAGTAGACAAGGAAATA